AAAGGGGGGGAGCCAAAGCTCCCACCCCCCAACGATCGCATAGATACCGAAACCAAGCCCTCACCGGCCGGAGGGAAGGAAAACCTTCACAGGGGAAGGAAATAAAACTCCACCACGCGGGGAGAGAGAAACCTTCCACCACGCAGGGGAAGACCTTGTTAGTTCTTACTATCGCTGTTGTTGCTAAATTCACTGTATTTATTGTCCTCACATATATATCCAATTATTTCCCAGGCGTAGGACATCATTATACCATCAGATTCTTCAAAGGTTCACTTCTCATCCGTCATCCAGTTTTTATTCTTGAATCTCTGTATATACTATTCATGAAGGTTCAACTGGTTTTTTTTTTTTAATTGAAATGGGTGGTCCCCAATTTCTTGAAGGGTTTGAGTTTTTCCCCACTCCTATGCTCTATTTCGACATACCTGCTTTAAATGCTTGAAATTATCTTTCGGCTTGGTTTGTTTGCTGGGTTTTCTGTTGTTGATTTGCTTGAATTGAGATGGGTTGTTATAAATTTGTAGAAAATATTTAGGCCATGTTTGTTTCGGAATAAAATCAGATTTTAATGTAAGTTAAAGTCAAACAATATTAACCACATTTTAATCACATACCCTTTCAACTACACATTTCAAAAACTTCTATCACAATATGCTAAAAGGCTAATTTTAATCCACACTAGACACCCACTAAATCTTTTCAAAAGTTCAAAGAAGCTAGCTCGTCTATGAAAGTTTCCAATTCTCTTGGGTGTAATTTGAAAGTTTAGGATATGAGAATGATGGATGGGACCCACGTTTAGTCCTTGAATTTCGTGTGCATACCGATAAGATGCTTGGATGTGGATTAGCTGACTTTTGGGTTGTTAATTTGCTTAAACTAAAAGGTGTTCTCATTAAGTAAAAGATTGTATTCTTCAAGTATTAAGAGTATAAGAGCTATTTTTCTCTACACAAACAATTAATGGGTCCTACAACTTTTCAACCACACATTTCAAAAACTTTTATCATTATCTACTAAAAGTCTAATTTTAATCCACACCAAACAACCACTAAATCTTTTCAAAAGTTCAAGTCAAAGGAGCTAGCTCGTCTATGAAAGTTTCCAATTCTCTTGGGTGTAATTTGGAAGTTTAGGATATGAGAATGATGGATCATGGATGGGACCCACTTTTAGTCCTTGAATTTCGAGTGCATACCGATAAGATACTTGGATGTGGATTAGCTGACTTTTGGGTTGTTAATTTGCTTAAACTAAAAGGTGTTCTCATTAACAAAAAGATTGCATTCTTCAAGTATTAAGAGTATAAGAGCTATTTTTCTCTACACAAACAATAAACAAAGCTTTGTTCTCAATTAATTTGAAGTCGGCTACATGAATCCTTTTTTGCTAGTCTGTTGATCTCCAACTCCCACAATAGGCTGTGTTAGCTATTTTCTCTATCAAGTTAATAAACTGTTGAGTTTGGTAAGCCATTCATTTTTTTGAGTTTTATGATGGTTTATGTAATTTATTTTATTCTTGTGTTGAGCTCTGGAGTTCCTAGTTTTACTTTGATGTGAGTATGTTTATTATGATTTTAAGGCTCTCCTTTCACTGCATTATTTCATTGTTGACATCAACTTTTTGTCAAAGTTTCATGTTCAGTTAAAATTTTCTAGATCCCGTGATAATACTTTGCATTGGTTGGTTTCACTTTCAAAAGTACTGTTAAATTTTTTGTATGAAATATTTTATGGCTCCTCAAGTTTATAAAATGTAACAGAATGTATTTTTGTGGGTTTGCTTTCACTTTGTCCTTTGATATACCGAGGTACGATTGGCTAAAATTCAGTGAAAAAGAAGTTGAGGATAAGGAGGGCACTTGGATTCAAAAAGATCAAGCATGAAGTTTTAGACTTTAATATTGTGTGTGCACATATACTGAAGTTTTAAGAAAAGGGTCTGATGGACCCTTGCTTAACAGAGGAAAGAAAAGCAAAAGAGTGGGAAAGAATGATTAGTAGATCGATCAGCATGTGAAAATATGTTGAATTCTGAGGTCTCAATATGTTTATAAAAACTGTAGAAACAGTATAGGGACTCATAAGGGGAAATCCAGAAAGTTAGTTTTGAATTCCCATAGTAGGCATGTCTTGTATTACAACAAATATGATTGTTCAAACTGAAACTGAATTTGAGCTATACTGACATTAGTTCAATATTTTCTGTTCCAGTTGCTAAAAGTGATATACGTTGAACAGCAGTGTTGTTGAATGGCGACAGTCATTGGGTTATGAAACAACAATTGTTGTTTTATTGAACTGGAAGCAAAGAGTGCACTATTAACTAATTTACGAATAGAAGAAATAATTTCAAACGGAGTCACATGAAATGGATGTCTCAGGAGCTACGTCTAGATCTTTACCCATTTTGCCTTCTCCTTTGGAAGAGAAATATCCCAAGCTACCAGATTCACATCAGGTTACTTTAGCACAGGAATTGACTAGTAATCTCAAATCTTCTTGCCCTGCTACACTGTCAACTAACAACCAAACTACGGGGAATTTGTTTTCATCTCCTTCTGGATGCTCTACCGATCTTCAGTCTTCTTGTATGTCACCTCAAACAAGTCGATTAAAAGTTTCTCCATTCATTTCTAAGTCACCGAATGAAAGAGTGTCTTTTGCATCAAACCAGCCTCCGGATGAAGTAAAGAAATCTAGACCATTGAATGGGTACAATACAGAGAAAGATAATATTTCTTGGAGTACAAATGCAACTGAGAATTTTCTCGATCTTTGCATGAACATTCCAGTACAGAATGGCCAAATTGAAACCTGTACTGGTGTAATGGCTTCAGAAGACCATACCAAGGGAACTGATTGGCAGGATTGGTCGGATCAGTTGGTCACGGTTGATGATACACTGGACTCAAATTGGAGTGATCTCCTAGTTGATGTCAATTTTCTTGATTCAGAGCCCAAGGTTTGTTTCTCATTCACAATAACTGCATTATACTTGATGCTTCTGAATTAACATTGACTAAAGTTGTAATCATCTAATTTGGATACAGAAATGGGTTTTTGCACTTCCTGACAATTTTTTTTCCAAAACCAGTAGTTACTGTTATGTGCAGTTCACTTAACACCTATATGAGAGGTTTCATCTTCTTCCACATAGATTCTGATTTTTGCCCATAATTTTATGTGCTATCTTATCTTAACCTTTATTGCAGTTACAACACAAAATTTCTTGAGTGCATGTTACCACCATTTTGAATAATAATAAGCGGTTATACATGTTCGTCTCATGGAAAATGTAATTTGCACAATAAATAAAAAGGGAAGTACCGATTATGTGCTGCCCACATGCTCTTGGAAGGAAGATTCTCAGTGGAGAACTAGGATGTCATAGTGTCTATTCTTGTATTTCTTGAAAATAATTTTTCTTTTTTATTAATTGATTAATTGTGAATGACTTACCAGCTGCTGGACTTGCCACCTAACGTGTCTGCGCATCCACCACAAATTAATCAGCAGCAGCAGCATCCTGTGTCAAGTGCAAAAGATTCTCCTGTAGGTAGCCTTCCTGCTGCTGCACCCTTGACTAAAGCACGAATGCGTTGGACCCAAGAACTTCATGAAGCCTTTGTTGATGCGGTCAATAAACTTGGTGGTAGTGAACGTGAGTAACTTGCTCATATAACTTTCTCCTGATTTCTTGAGACTGGAGAAACCCAATAGTTCTCTGACTTGTAACCTTTTTTTGTGGGTTTTAAAGGAGCTACACCAAAGGGTGTCTTGAAGCTCTTGAATGTTGAAGGCCTAACAATCTATCACGTGAAAAGCCACTTGCAGGCATGTACACAGCGCTTTTATTGAGATTTTGGTTTCTTGTAGCAAAAAAAATTCTTTCGAACTTATTGTGGTTCCTCTGAAATTTCAGAAATATAGAACTGCCAAATACAAACCAGAGACATCAGAAGGTAGGGGTTGCCTCTCTAGTTGTGTGTTATTTTCTTTTGTGCTATGATGCCTTATTTCGCTGGAAACTTTCACTTTCTATGCAATTTAATTTATAGTTTAGACATCAAACCTTGCTCAAGATTTAATGATCTCAAAGCTGCAATGCTCCGAGAGTATCGCAAGTATATCTTGGGTTTAGTGATAATACTCTTCTTATCGGGCATTCTCATAATTGATGACGAGGACTTATTAGAGATCATTTTCTCCTTAATGCAGGAACTTCAAAGAAGAAGTCAAATACGATCGCTGAGACGACATCCCTCGACTTGAAAACGTGAGTCTCTCTCTCTCTCTCTCTCTCTCTCTTTGACACACACACACATCCATCCAATTGTTCATGTCCTACTCACATATCTAGACGGTTCCAGGAAATAGTAAAGATTAAAAAGTCAAATCACTCTCTCACTATCTCCTATTTTAAATAGAGAACAAGTGTAAGTGTAAATACAATTCGGCGGAAGAAACAAAAGGTAGAAGGGGAAATTCGAAACTCACAAGACAAGCGCTATGCATAAAGTTAGATCTTATAGCCTCTTATATTGGTTCCTTCCATTACTTGACCCTGTTCACAAGAACCCATATAGAGAGAGATGCAAACAAAGCTCTGAACAAACCTAAAATATTTTTTAGCATCTTAAAATATTCAATCAAATTTTTGCACAAACCTAAAATATATGCAAGTTTCTTTACTTGTGTATTTATTTACATTTTTCCATCTACACATGGTGATATCTGACAGTAATTTGAATGTGTCTATGGAATCTATTTACTACGGAGCTTGCTATATATTTTTACGTTAACCCTCGGTGTGTTTAGTAAAATTAAGGTTTTTATGAGATTCCCGGAGTATAAGATGAAAACAGGAAGAGTTATTTGAAACAATGGAGATCTTGGGTCTAAGTTTTAGTAAATTTAAAGTTTTTATGAAGTTCCTACAGTAAATAAGACAAAAAGGGGAAGAGATATATGGAAGAATGGAGATGGGTCTAAGTACTCTGAACATAATACACGGACCAATGAGTGGAGCTGCAGAGTGCATAGCCTATAGAGATCATTGAGTTGCTATTGCGTTCTAATATAAAATCTTACCTACGGTGATTTTGATGGCAGGACAATGGGAATAACAGAAGCACTAAGAATGCAGATGGAAGTACAGAAGCAACTCCATGAACAACTTGAGGTACACAACTTATGCATAATGTTTTAGCAAAGGTTGATGGTATTTTCTTGCCTTTTTGGATTTTAACTTGCTAATTTTTCGAAAATCTAAATTCAGTTAGGTTAAAGATGTTGAACCAACAAGTGTCATCTAGAGAAGGGTGAACAGTAAGCTTGAAAAAAAAAACCCTTAAAAACAACAGTTGATAGTTCATTGCTGAAAGTACGATTTCATGCACTTATAAGTCAACATAGTGGGCACAAGTAAAAGTGTAAGGGGAGATAGAAATCACATACTAAAATAAAATGAATTTATTCAATTAAAAACGAAGTAGGCATACGAATGCAACAAACTGGATGCAGAAGAATAGGAGGAGAAGAGTGATCAATGACAAGACTTGAACTGTTTCTGTTGACCATCAGACCTACTTCCACTGCCAGGAAGTCTTCCCTATGGAATTTTAATTACTGTAGCGGCATTACACTGAACGCCAATAACATCATCGATGTTGTTTTCTCAATTTGGCAAGTTCTTATTTTGCTTAGCAGTATTTAAGCATTCTATAATACTCAAATTGGCAGATTTATAATTAAACCCTCACAAGATTGCAAACCAGGATATTAAAAGATTTTATCAAATAAGGAAACAGTAATGATTTAGAAAGATGAGAAAATGATAAAGCTCTATTATTGCTGTCTGATTCACCTCTTTACTATATTTTGCCCACATAAATCCAATGTTTATAGCAACCGAATATGGGCTTTGGGGCTGATTGTAATAGTTTCTGTGATTATCTCAAAACACGAGAGAGAAATTCTTGAAAAATTCTTGTTGATTGTATAATAGTGTGATAATCATGCTCTTGAAAAAATTGAACTTTTAAGGCTTAAGCCAGTCAGAAAATAATTGAATTTGTACCTTGGGAAGGTTTAAAATCAGTGAAAAATTCAAAATAGATAGCTTGTTGATAACTAGTGCAAGCATTAACAATATTCTGGTACAACTTTTACACATTAAGGAAAGAAATTTCATTAGAGAATGAGTTGATAGGCCTGATTTGATGACTCATTTATTTTTCAGGATCGCAAACCTATCACATGATTCACATTAATATGTAGCTCTTGTTAGAATTCATGCAGGCTCAAGCCTATGCATTTGAAAAATGAAACTGACCTTTGGACTTGAACAGCCGGTGATAAGCCGGAGGAAGGTGAGGATGACGTCAAGTCATCATGCCCCTTATGCCCTAGGCGACACAAGTGCAACAATGGCCGGGACCTCTGATGCTCGGACTCTTCGAAATAGTTGGAGTACCCGTGTCGGATACGACACGACATGGGTATGGGTATGAGATATGTATCGGATCCTCCAAGTTTCAACCGGACACTTCGTCGTTTTTG